CCCACTTTGTTCTAAAAAGGGGCAGAACCACATGTGGGGTATTCACGGTCACCTTGCCGTAAGGTGAATTTTTCAGCCTCCTGTAGCAGGTCACAAGTGCTGCCACAGCTCAAAGACAAGGGTGCCCTTCCCGGGCCACGTTATCTAGTTGTTTTAAGAAGTAGGCCACAGGTCACCTGGTGGGTCCCAAGGTCTGAGTTAATACTCCCGCAGCAATTCCTTGTCTCTCATGCACGAAGACTTCAGAAGGTTTCTGTAAATCTGGTAACCCCAGCGCTGGAGCAGTCATTAACTTGTATTTTATTTTTTCAAAAGCCTGCTGACATTCCTTATTCCATAATAAAGTCTACTTCTCTTCCACCTTCAAAGCCTCATATAGAGGTTTTGCCGTAAGCCCAAATCCTGGGATCCAGATCTGACAAAACCTCACCATCCCGAGAAAACCTTGCAATTGTTGCTTGGAGGTAGGAGGTGACACCTGCATTATGGCCTCCCTTTGATCCTGGAGGAGGCTCCATTGTCCTTGTGAGATTTGGAAGCCCAAATACCTTACTGTCGTTGGGATATCTGGGCTTTTTTTTCAGAGACCCGATATCCACATTCAGCCAGATGGTTTAGAACCAGTATGGTGTTTTGGTCAGATTCCTCCTTGGTCTTACTTGTTATCAGAATGTTATCGACATACTGCAAAACAAGACCCTTTTCCAATTTTAAGGTCCTAAAGTCTCTGGCTAAAATTTCTGCAAAAATGGTGGGAGAGTTCTTGAACTCTGGGACCAAAATCTGCCATGTAAGGTGTCTTCTGGTCCCGGTTTTAATGTCAGTCCATTCAAAAACAAACAGTGGCTGGGACTCAGGATGTAGAAGAATATAAAAGAAAGCATCTTTCAAGTCCAGGACCAAGAACCAGGCACACTGGCTGGGACTGGTGACCAGAAGGGTGTAGGGATGTGGCACCACCAGATGGATATTTTCCACTATTTGATGTATCTTAAGTCTTGGACGAACTGATACTCGTTCGTCCCTGGTTTTAATACTGGTAGAATAGGAGCGTTGTAAGGGGAGCACAGAATTTTAAAAGTCCAATCTTTATATACCTTTGAACCAATGGCACAATTCCTTCCAATGCTTCCTTCCAGAGAGGATATTGTTTTTGATTCACAATGGATGCTCCAGGTTTCAAGGCTATTTTTACTGGTGCGGTGGGTTTCACCCACCCCGGCCTTCCTGTTGCCCATACTTCTGGGTTCACTTCCCACAAAATGTGAGGAGGGACGCTGCTAGATGTCGCCACCTCACTTTGTAATAACGCTGCCTGGAAGGCACAAGCATTTTCTGGCGAGGTCTGCACCAGGATATGGGATGGCCTAAAGGTGATTTGGGCTTCTAGCTTTGATAGGAAGTCCCTCCAAAATAACGGGACCGGGCATTCTGGCTTGTAGAGAAACTCATGATATAACAAATCCTTTCCGATTTCACAGTTCACAGGTTGGAGGAAAGATCGTGTGGATAGTTTTCCCGAAACTCCTACCACTGGGGCAGTGCACTGGCTGAGAGGGGACTCAGCTATGTTTAGAACTAACAATGTCAGCCCCGTATCTAGAATAAAGTCAATGGGACGTCCTCCCACTTTAAGAGTTACCTGAGGCTCATGGTGGGAGATAGCCAAGGAGGATCTCAGCCCTGGGCCCCATCATTCCAAATCATCATCCCCAGGTGTGGATCCTTCCTGATAGGCTTGGAGGGCAGCAGGCCGTGGCCGCTTCTCCCTGGCTTCAGGGCATTCCTGTTTCCAATGTCCATGTTTCTTACAATAAGCACATTGATCTGCACCCAGTGGTGGTCTAGCTTGCCACCCTGAGTTGGCCTTTTTTCCTATCCCTAACCTTTCTACTGGGCCTGAAGGGACAAGGGTGGCAGCCAATAAAGTGGCCTTCTGTTTCATCTTTTGTTTCTCTCTTTGCTCAGCCGCCTGATCCCTATTGTAGACTTTGAAGGTGATTTCAAGTAACTGTCCCATAGGCATCCCTAGTCCACCCTCCAGTTTCTGCAATTTCTTTCGAATATCAGGGGCACTTTGGGAAATGAAAGTCATATTTAAGAGCCATGAGTTATTTGGGTCCTCTTGATTTATATCAGTGTAATGATGGAATGCATCAGTTACCCTTACCAGGAAGGTGGATGGATCCTCTGTTTCCCCCTGAGTAACTTCCCTAATTTTCTGCAGGCTCTTGGGTTTTGGTGCCCCATTCTTTAAACCAGTTAACAGACATTCTCAGTAAAGCTGGAGTCTGTTTCGTCCATTTTCCTGATTTGGGTCCCACCCTGGGTCCCTGGCTGGGATAGCCTCCTCCCTGGTTGGTGGGGTCAGGGGATCCTGATGGTGGAGTCTATCAGCCTCCTTGCAGGCTTGTTCTAATACCATGCAGTGTTTTACTGAGGTTAATAAGATGATCAATAGGACTTGTATATCTGCCCACGTAGGGCGGTGGTTGGAAAAGATGGAGAGGAATAGTTCTGTCATCTTATTTGGATCACTCTGATAGGGAGGATTATGATTTTTCCAGTTATATAAATCAGAGGTGGAAAAAGGGGTATATACCAACACTGTCCCTTCTCTGGCTGGGACTTCTCTCGATGGAGATTGCCCTGCCCAAGCCTCAGTAGCACCCTCACCAAAAACCATACCCTGTCAGGTATGAGTGGGGGAGACCATACCTGAAGTCGAGGCAGTTGCACCCTTGTCAGCCTCCTTTTTTCCTTCTGTGCTGGAGTCTGGTTCCATTTCTCCTTCACCTCTCCTGTCGGCCACACTCACACCACCCCCGTATGAGGGTGGGGGAGCCGAGGCAGGTACCAGGACTATTCTTTCCAACAAAGGGTCCTCTACTGAGGATTCTGGAAGCACCTTTCCCTTAGGTTTTCCTTGGAAGAGTACTTGGTTAGAGGGGTTTATGGTTTGATAGAGAGACATGAAGGCTTGGACATACGGGACCTCGTCCCATTTCTTTTCCCTCTTACAAAACAAATCAAGCTGCAAAATTGTATTATAAGCCATTACCCCATTCCAGGGCCAAGTCTCCTGATCCCCTAGCTGATATTGGGGCCAAACATCATTACACAGAAATATCATCTTCTTCTTTGTCATAGGCTCATAGCTATACCTTTTACAGTTTGCCAAAATGCATCCCAGGGGGAATCCCTGGGAATACTAGGCTGATTCCCCATGTCCTCACCTCGTCCTCCTCAGTTTATACCTCTTATCTCCTGTAATGAGTAGCCGAAGAGAGGGATGGGCATGCTGGTTTAGGGCTGTGATGAAGTTATTGTACTGATCCATGTGGTACTTAGCCTCTCTATCGGTCCAGCCGAGGGCCACTAAGATTCCCACTAGGGCCCAGTCCTGAAGGTCAGGTACACAGCCCCAGTCCTATTCCTGGTAGGCACAGTCCACTGTGACACAAAGTGAAGAAAATAAAAGAGAAGACAGTAAGTCCGGCCGACAAGAGGGTGGCAAGATTTCAGTGGGCGATGGGTGAAATGATTAGAGACCCATCGGTAAAGCAGAGATCCGGGGTGCTAGCAACAATCTACCCACCACTCATTAAAGGTCTTTGGTGGAGATCTTACAGAGATGACAAGATTCTGCCAGGGTTAGCTGTAATCACCGTCAGATGGTACCCAAGTAGATGGTACAAGACTAGGTACCCACAGACAATGGACAGGACAGACACAGAACCACAGTAAACGAATAAATCCCAAAAAGCTGCCAGAGGTGCTCTTGACCCCTTCAGCCTCTCAGACGGCCCTGCCGACAGAGGTGAGCTTAGTGGTCTCAACCTCCCAGATACACTCGTGAGCACTCACACACCCAAGACCAAGACTCTGGAGTCACCAAGAGTCCTTTTCTTACAATCCTACTCATGGGGATCGGTCATCTGAGGTGCCTCCAGCCTCAGAAACCAAGGGCTCAGGTCCCATTCCGGAAACCTTTGGCCTACCCTATCCACCCTAGCTCTGAGCGCAACAGGGAGAGGAATCGCGGACTCACCTTAGGATCCTCTTATACCAGTCTTGCTTCCTTCTGAGTCACCTCCGTCTGGCATGGTTGGGGACTGGTGATGCTGCGGCAGGTCCCGGTGCTGTCGGCAGCTCCCCAGAGGCAAATGAAGCCTCTTGTGGCTGGCTGTTCAGGGAGACAGACAATCCTAGGCCCTGCCACTGGGCTGCCATGTCTCAAGCCGCTGGAAAGCCCCACATTGGGCACCAAAATTTGTTATCGCTCTGGCGGGTCTGAGCCGCCTGCCACGGAAGTCAGTACTGAGACGGGTGAGGTGAGTAGCAAGAAGGTTTTTCTTGTATATCAGTACACAAGAGACAGAGGGGAATGAGCTCCTCCAAAATCTGCCTGCCAGTCTGAAGGCTGATTAGAGGATTATATAGGAAGAAAGCAAAAGTCCAAGGAATCTATGGAATGTTGGTTCCCCTCTGGGGTGGCCGGCCACATTAACCACCCTCCAGACATGTTGACCTTTGGATGCCATCCTGGTTTCGGCCACACAATGATTTTTCCTTGTTCAAGCATTTTACTTCCAGACTCTATCACTTGTTGTTCTACCTCCCAAAGAGGAACTTAGGTTAAAGTTAAACTTTTAAAATCATGGGAAAACAAGAGGGAAGAGAGGAGGAGAGTAAATCAGAATCGTGGGAGCATGCAAAAGTGAACTATGCCAGCTAGGCATTGACAATACCACAATACCCAAGACGTTAGGTCTACATTGCTGACAGTAAACAATAAATGTGAAATTCCCAGGCAGCCCCTTTCAAAACCACAGTCAGAGTGAAATAGATCACCTTGCTCTTATGCCTGACATTTATAAACACAAATCCTTCTTTAAAATAATCATTTGGCTCTTAGTTTTAGAAGGCTAATAAGCCTGACAAATTCTGTTTAGTGTTTTAGTAATATTATTTTTTATCATTTATGCTGTCTTCCTCAGGGATTCTGGTCCACAATGGCTGAAGAGCAAGAGAAAGACTTGCAGAAATTTCTTAAAAATGTGGATGAAATCAGTAAGTACCGGTAAATCATTAAGTCTGGCCTTAGAGGGGTAGAGTGACTAAAGAGAAATGATCACTCTAAGTTCCTGGGTTGCTGACAGGTTTATGACTCTTGTGAAAAAAATGTAATTGAAATTAAATAGAAGGGGTATTGAGAAGCAAGTAATAATATAGCAGGGGGACGGTATTTTCTGGCTATCACTTGGTATCGGAGAAGTTGTCAACGATCTGAGTGGAATTCAGGCTGATAGCTCTTCTCCCATATTTGTCGCCTTGCATAAGGAATCTGGTCAAAAGGAGCTGCTATTTCCCCATTGCCAACGAGCCTGGCTGTTCCCTTTGAGATCACTCCAGAGTCCTGCTGATTAGTCTGGGATTCCTCCTCCTGTTTTAGAGTAGAGCCATCTTTGTTTTGGAGTTGCAGTGGCAAAATCAAGTGGCTTTCCCTCAGGATCTATGAAGTTACGTGGATGGCTCATGGTTGCCATCCCTTCTCTCTTCCTCTAGACAAGAAGACCCCTTCCCCAGCTCAGGCAGGTAGGATCTCTCAGAACATACCCACAGATCACACTCAAGAGATTTATAAACCAGTCTCTGTTCAAGCCTCAGGGAGCTGGTCTGAGGATAGAAACAGACAAACCAACAAGCCTATCTTACACAGCAAACAGGAATATGTTGAAATTGCTGCTTTCAGGAGATTGTATGGGTCAGAAAAATAAAATGGTTTAAAAAAAAAAAACCTTGGATGACTTCATTACTGATAGATCCATAATAGGTTCTTTGTGTTCATCATGGGCTTCTCCTCTGCTCATCCCTAAATTCTGCTCTTCCATGAGGTTCTGGCCTTGGCCCACTTCACACCTTTCTCTTCAGGTGATCTAGTCCAAGCTTGTCGTTTTAACTACTACCTATCTGCTGATGACCCCACATCTAAATTGCCAGCCTTCTTTTCCAAGCCTCAGGTTCTATGGCCAACTGTCATATCCACTGTGTCCCACAAACATCTCAAACTTAATGTGTCCAAAAATTGAATTCATCATCTCTTTCCACCTCTACTCTTTCTGTCCAAAAAAAAAAAAAAAAAAACAAAAACAAAAACCTGCTTTTCATACCTTCCCCTTTATCCTGATGGTGCTCCCATCCAAAAATATACAAGTCACCTTGGACTTCTTCCATCTCTCAACCTTACATCCAAGCAGCCATCACATTTTTTCTCCTTTCTTCAACTCCATCCTCTCTATCCTTCCCTTTGCTCAGGTTCTTCTCACCCAGACTATTTCAACAAGCCCTAATTGTTTTTCCTGCCTCCAGGCTTACACTCCCCACAGAGTAATGTATCTGTAATGCAGATCTGACCCAGACACTTCTCTGCTTGGATTCCTTCTGTAGTCACAATCAATTCTAAGCTCTCACCAGGACTTAGGTCCTCCCATGACCTTGTTCTTTACAAGCAGTAACAAACTGCTTGCAGCTTCCTACACATTCTCTGATGTTTCATGCTCCGCACTCTGCTTTTGTCATTTCCTCTGCCTCTGTACTTTCTTTACCTGGCTAACTTTTTATTCATACTTAGAGTTCATCCAGACAGCTTCTATACCAGCACTGTCCAACAGAACTTTCTGTGATGATGGAAATGTCTGTGCTGTCCACTATGGTAACCACTAGCTACATGTGGCTATTGACCTTTTGACATGTGACTAGTGCTACTGAGGAGCTGAATTTTACATTTTATTTCATGATTAATTAATTTAAATGTAATAGCCACATGTGTGTAGATTCTATACACTCATTTCTTGGGCTCCTGCTGTGTGTTGAGTATTGCTAGGTGCTGGAGAGTGAAGTAACAACAGACAATAATTACCTGTCCTAATAATATCTATGGTCCATTGGGGAACACAGATATTAAACAAGTAATTTCAAGTGTGAGGTATGATACAAAGGGAGACTTGCAAAGTGCAGGTCAAGCTAACCCAGTTTAGGGAGTCAAATAAGGCTTCTGTGAAGAAGGGAAATTTAAGCAAAAATATGAGTAGGAGTTGGCCATTGGGAAAAGGGGAGGGAGTATTCTAAGTGGGAACAAAGTAGGTAGGAAAGCTAGTAGTTAAAGAGTGTGGTACCTTTAAGAATCTGAAGGGGAAAAAGCTACCTTATAGCTGGGGAGAGGAGATGGGGGAGAGAAAGGTCCCATCTGAGTATGGAGAGGCCAGATCAGGGAATGCTTTGGAAGCCATGATAAGAACTTGTGTTTGCCCCAAGAGCAAGGGGGAATCCTTTGGAGGGTTTACTTAGAGGAGGAACATGATCAGATTTACACTTTAGAAAAGTCCCTCGGGCCACAGTGTGTCGAGTAGCCTGGAGTGGAGAAGAAAATGGATGCTCAGAGTACTTGAGGGAAAAGATACTGGTGACTAGGTTTAGAATAGTGGCAGAGAGGTGGGCACAAGTCCATAAATTTGAGATGTATGTAGGAGTATACTGGACAAGTTTTGGTGTTTGATGTCTGTGAGGGCTGAAGGAGAATGAGGGCTCAAAGATGAGTCCTGAGAGTTTTGGGTTGGAATAATAGGTAGATGTTTGGGCCATTCACTGAGATAGGGGGCACTTGAAGGGAAAGAAGATGGATATGTTAAGTTTGAAGAGTTTAAGACATCCTGTTGAAGATGTTCAGAGGGCAGTGGGCTTTGTGAGTATGGAGACATAGGAAACAGAATTGAGCTGGAGATATCAATTTAGGAGGCATTGTCACGTGAATGGTATCTGGAGCTAAGGGTGAAAATGGGAATACCTAGAAAGAGGGTGGAGAAAAAGAGAAGAGTACCTCAGGCAAAGCCTTGAGGAATACCACAATTTAAAGGGTAGGTAGGGGACGAGAGGAGGAGCAAGTAAAGAACACCAGAAAGCAATAATCAAAAAGGTAGGAAGAAAATCAGGAGAATTCTGTGTTATGGAAGCCAAGGGAGACATAATTACATAGAGAAGATGTGTTCAGCATTGTCAGTTGTTTCAGAAATTTTGGTCAAAACAAAAACTAAAAACCAAGACCAAACCCACTGCTGTCGAGTCGATCCCGAATCACAGTGACCCTAGAGGACAGAGTAGAACTTCCCCATAAGGTTTCTAAGGGGCGGCCAGTAGATTTGAACTGCCGACCTTTCGGTTAGCAGCCTGAGCTCTTAACCACTGCACCACCAGGGCTCCAAGAACTAAAAAGTGACCACTAAATTTAGCAGCATGGAAGTCATTTGTAACTTTAATGGGAACAGTTTTGGAGCAGTGATGAGAACAGAAACTAAATTTTAGTGGGTGAAGAGTAAGGCGGGAGGGGGCTTCCATTTCCGGAAATATTGCTGATGAGCTCATCTGAAAACCCTCCCACTACAAAGCATCTGGAAAAGCTGGATAAAATATAATAGACATCAGCAGTTACATAGCACCTAAGACAGCAATAAGATGGGAGGAAGGTGCCCAGAACGAAAGGATTCTGTGATGTTTGTATTATGTAGGAGGGTAGAAAGTGTCCATAATTTTAGATTTGTTAAGTCAAGTATGTTTGTTAAAATTGTAAGAGTTACCATTACAAGAATGGTAAAAGAAGGTATGAGATTTAAACTTGTGGAGGGTAAAGGGGAATAAAGAAACACAGTGACTCCAATGAATACAGGAAAGGAGGGGAGAAAAATAGAGAAGTCTAGGTAAATAGAAGGCATAAAACATAGTAGAAATTAATCCAAATACTCTATCAGTAATCATAGTAAAATATATGGGCCAATCTCCAATTAAAAGAGATTGTCAAATTGGATAAAACAAAATACAGTTATTGTGCTATATGCAACCTATAAACCAAACCAAACCCGCTGCCGTCAAGTCAATTCCGACTCATAGTGACCCTATAGGACAGAGTAGAACAGCCTCATAGGGTTTCCAAGGAGTGACTGGTGCATTCGAACTGCCGACTTTTTGGTTAGTGGCTGAACTCTTAACCACTGAGCCACCAGGGCTCCCTATATGCGACAGACACATAACTTAAGGGCACCGAAAATTTGAAAACTTTAAAAATGGAAAAATATTTACCATACAAATACTATCCAAAAGAAAATAGGTGTTGAATATTAATAATCAGACAAAATAGATTTGAAAGCAAAGACTATGGTTTAAAATAGCTGTTATTTAGACGCAAAGGGAAAAATCACCAGGAAGATTTAACAGTTCTAAATTTGCAAACTCCTAATACACAGCTTTAACATTTATGAGCACAAAAAAATTTAAAAATGTCTATGTAGCAAAATGTTACAGAATAACAAGGAGGAAAGTGCAAGGCTCCCCATAATCACAGTGAAGGATTAAAATACTAAGCAACCAAAAAGCAATCAAATCTTAGAAGATTTGAACAACATAAGTAACAAACTTCATTAATGGATAACTAGCCCTCTATCCTATGATTTCCCTTTTCAAAAACTATGCTATGGAGCATTCACAAAAAAGAAGCATGAACTTGACCACAAAGCAACATACACCAAAAAACCTGTATCATACAGACAGTATTCTCTGAAACAATGTTCTAATGAAACAGTTGAGTCATAAATCAGTAAGAAAAGGTAAGCAACTTCCTCCTCTCCCAACTCTGCATTAGAAGGCTAGAAAATACCCTTCTAGATTACCCACGGGTCAAAGATAAAACATACTACAAATTACAGAATATTTAGAATTAAATAATATTTGAACTTATAGGATGCAGTGATACTTCAAAGGAAACTTACAGAAGATTTTTTTAGAAACAAGACATAATTAATGAGCAAACTATCCACCTCGAAGTTCAAAATAAAGCAAAGAGGATAAATCTAAAGGAAGGAAATAATAAAGGTAACAGAAATTAATGAAATAGTTAAATAAAAAAGATTAAAAATCTAAAAGCTGTTTCTATGAAATTAATAATTAAATAGACCTCTGGAAATAAAATAGAAAACCATGAATCCATACTACTATGAATTAATAAATGCAGAAAGTAAAAATTT